CATCTTCATCATCCTGGTAGATGGAAGCAGATTTTTATCAAGAATGTCTCTGTACATTTTTCCATTCATACTTCCTTCAATTATTTGAAGTTTGCCAGTACCATATGCTGAAAAACAGCCCCACATCATGATGTTCCCACCTCCAAACTTCACTGTTGGTATGGTGTTTTTGGGCTGATGTGCAGTGCCATTTGACCTCCAAACATGATGTGTATTCTGGCATCCAAACAGTTCAATGTTGGTCTCATCTGACCAGACTATATTCTCCCAGTATTTCACAGGCTTGTTTAAATGTTGTGCAGCAAACTTTAAAGGAGCTTCAACATGCTGTTTCTTCAGCAGTGGAGTCTTGCGTGGTGAGCGTGCATACAGGCCATGGTGGTTCAGTGCATTACTTATTGTTTTATTTTACCCGCTGTATAACTCTGTCATTTTGGTGTGGTAGTATCCGAGAGTCATCCTCAATACACATTCTTAACGTGATCACATCTCATAAGGCCTCACAGTATCACTAAATGGCGATTGTGCTCTCATTATCAACATAAGATGAGTCTGATATCCAGTTCTGGCATGAAAGTGTTTATACCCATTTCTTTTAAGAAAACAGTCCTTGGTACAGTTGAGGTATTGAATTGTGACCCTGCAGCAACTTTTTAGACATTGGTCAAACATGCCTATTTGTGTTGTTTATTTGGAAACGGGATTCTTTACATCTACTGGTTCCAAAACTTTAATTTACAACCCACAAAATAACAGTGGCAGAGGCTAGTGACCTCTAACTGTTGGTAATTGTCGTAAACAAACAAAGTTAATAAGCCAATTAAACAAAAACAATAACAACACAAACATTTCCTGTAACAGTTGCACAAGTTTTTCTCCAACCATGGATATTTTTATGCTACAAGCTGTTAATTATAAGTGTATTTAGATTTCTAGAGAGTATATCGAACCCCCCACTTGATGTTTCTTGAGCCATAGTCGGGTCCTGATCCGAGCTTTTGGAACCACTGTTTTAAAACAATACCAGCTGTTAGCAGCATTTACGTATTCCACAATTATTTTAAAACAGCCACAGTCTGAACATGAGTGACTTATTTAGGTCTTTTTATGAAATTACTGATAAGATGTCCCACTTTTTTTTCATGTACATACTGAAGGGTCTATTTCAAGTCAAATCACCATTATTTTTATTGTGATGCAGTTGTGTTTTCGCCTATCCTGCTCCATTTAAAAAAATGCAGGTAGACCTTTGTTCCCCTGCTGTGTAACAAGCTCTGATGCTAAGGGAGTTTGCCTGAACCATGTCCACTGTCTACCACATCCCCCACCGACATGGTGAACAGGATGCAGTAAAACAGCAGTGCCACAGTGCAAAAGAGCCTGGGTGAGATCAGTCACGGTGGTGCTGGCAAACCTGCAAAATAAACTAGACTCCAGCGTGAACCAGCTGCTTTGTTGATGCACGAAGATTAGTTTGTTTCCAGGATTACAATTTATAAACCAGCATTATCCACAATGTGTGCATGCTTGTGCATGTGTCCAGCAATCAGTGGTGAGCAATCGATCGCGAGGAACAAAATCAATAATTAGTTGATTTCCAATAGTCTCCCCTCCTCCAGGCCACGTATTTAGCCCCAACACCCAGCAGACAGCCAAAACAAAGCTTTCCACTCAAAACACATTGCTAACTCTTTGTGTACAGTACGACAATGACCCAGCTTGTCCAGACAAAGACAGAACAGTGTTTGGGGTGAAGAGGTCATGTTTGGAAGCGGAGCTTGGAATATTTGCCCTACAACAGCATTTTGCATTGAGACCAAAAATGGGACAAAGCAGGGCAGACAGTGAGGCGTTTAGAGCAACGAGGAAAAAGACGCAAGGCGTGAGAGTTTTGCGTGAAAGCATGGACAGWGATAAGAATCAGGATGTTTTTATTTGTGGGGAATGAGAACGTTTGTGTATGTTTAATCATGAATGTATTATTTTTACCCATTGATTTGTATCTGGAGATGAGACACATCTAAAAATGGATCAGTGTTTGTATGAATGTCACACAATAAAAGATAGTTTCTGGTAGGAAACTGTCTGATCTGCTGATTGATGAGCTGCTGGATGATTTCTCATCAACCCTAATGCTCACTCTGTACATTCCTGATGGCAGTGTTTGATTYGGCTCCTGGAAGCAGCAACAGCAGTTGAGAAAGCGGGAGTATGCTGGAGCAGCAGCAATTATCTGGCGGGCGCTTCATTACAAACTGTTTGCAAATGTAGAGAAAGTATCATATTGTGATGTGGACATCCTCAATCTTTTGGTAATAAAATGTCCCAAAAGTGCAAGTAATATTGCCACCAACAAGCATTAGGGGGGCTTTTGGAGTGAAAATGTGTGTATTTGCTTTTACAGTCTCCTAATGAGGACCTGTCCCCTTACCGAACAAAAAGAAAGTCTTTAAAATGATTTCTTTCTGAAATATAGAGAAATTCAAAGGTTGGSCTGAAGGTTTATAAGAGAAGAAATGTCTCTTTTTCATATTGTAGGTCAGCGTAATGTCCTCGCAAGTCACAGAAACCCAACAGCGTGTGTTAACCTATGCAGACAAGCTTGCATGTAAGTGTCTACAGCTGTTAGTGTGTGTGTCAGATGATGGCAACATGACACAGGAGGAAAAAGGCAAGCTGGCCAGAGACACATGTCAAATTTCATTTCCAGCACATGCTTGTTTGAGCGTGTACGTAGGGTCCAAACCATGTTTAAGAAAAGATACAACACAAAATATAGATATGTTTTATTTCATGTTTGCCTGTATGACTTACTGTGTCTGAATATATAACTGGACATAGTATGCATCTGTGTGAAAACTCCCCAGTCCCATTAAAAGGACATCCCCTCCTGTTCTGAAAGCTTTTAATAATTCATGTTTCAACTGTCTGCTTCCCACATGAGCCTCCCTGAATACTGACGCCCAATGTCAAATATGAATGTTTCAGTTATTTACAGGGGTCACCTCCAATAGCCACTTTTATGGAGYGCCAAATGTATTCTGGCATTTGGCATTTATGCATTTTCATTATTCGGATCACTTTCTGAGTATAAAATCCTGGTTTTAAAATGTTCCACTAAAATTTGATGTTATTTAGTTCACTGTTTTAACATTTAGCTAATTTTTACTAAATGTTATGTCTAAATGTTAAATCCTAAATCTAAATGTGTAAATCTGAATGTAAAAGTTAAATGTAAATGTTGCGGCTAAATGTTAATGTTTAATTCTAAGTATTTCACAATGGAACACAGCTTTCTTTTCTTCAACTTTATTTGTCAAAACATCATTTACAAGGAGATAATCTGAAAAGCATATGTGAGTTATGTGCGTGTACAAATCATGAAACAGTATGGGTCACAGAACAGTAAATGATAACAAAATAGTAAGAAAGAAACTAAATATAAAAAATAATAATGATGATGATGATGATGATAATAATAATAATAATAATAATAATAATAATAATAATAATAATAATAATAATAATAAATTACAGTTTAGAATTACATATTTCAATTGTTTCAACAGCAAGTTTATTGTCAGAGTTTTTGATTGTTCGAATATAATATTTAACTTCATTGTAAAAAGCAGTAAAACGAGGTTTTCTTACAAAATATTCAGAAAAGTGAATATGATATTTAGCTAGAACAAGTAACAGATTAATGTGAAATTCTGGATTATTAAATTTGTACTCAGTGAGACCAAGTAAAACGTTTCCAAAAAATGGAAAATTGTGTTTTTATATTATTGTATATGAAGTTACAAAGATTTGGCCAGTAACACAGCTTTGTCTGTTGGTGCTTAGCTTTTTAATGAAATCACAGACAATAACAAACACTAATGCTGCTAACCCTGCTAATGCTTCCCTACAAGAAGTCAAAACTTGCAGTTTCTGCCAGTGTCCAATGTGTACTTTAAACTGTCAGACCACGGGGGACCCTCCATATTGTTTTCAATGAACACATTTTGAATTTAAATTTCAAAGGCCATCTTCAGCAGCGCTACCTGTTGTTTTTGTTGCAGAATGAAGATGTAACAACAAAAGCCGCGCACCAACAGCAAAAGCTGTGTTCCATTACGAAAAATTTAAATGTAAACTTTATGATTGTAGCTGCAACATTTAAGAYGTAATTTTTACATTTAGATTTACACATTTAAATTTAGGATTTAATATTTACATATTACATTTAAAAAGGTAAAGTAAAATTTTAGTGGAATTATTTAAACTAGGTTTTAACACAGAAAGTGAGGTTAATGTTGAAAATGTACTAGTGACATTTTTAACATTTTATTTACACTCAGCACCTCACATTTGCATGTTTATTAATAATAACAMATTTGCAACAAAACACCTTTTTGTGTTAAATGTTCATGCGTTGACCCTCTTTTGTCCCAGTTGTAGAAAAGGAACGCTTTACTGATGAACTGACATCAACTCTCCCAGTAATTTCAGCTAATTTATTTCTTGATAGCATCATGCAGCTTAGGAAAAATATCATAGCTACATATATATGCATTTTTTACAATGCACTGAGAAGTGCTTACATGCAAACCAAAAACTAATAACAGCAATGGTACCTGCAGATATATAAAAAGAGGTAGTAAACAAACTATTTATTAATGTGAAATATATTAGTTCTGRGAATGAGTCTCAGCTACTACCAYGCCACATTTTATCTCAGTATCTGCMGAATTGACTGAATTATTACCATTTTTGTATTTGCTAAGGTTGAAAAGCAGTGGCAGCTGCAGACACAAGAACAGAAACATGACTGCCTTTCATTTGTAGCACCAGACAATAAAAAACAGCTAGTTTGGATGCAAATCCTGTTTGAAAGGTTTTTATTTGCTATTAAAACGGCTAATTGTTGCTTCTCAGTGTCTAATTAAAGATTACCAATAGACAGTGCAATTAAACAGAGGGAGCGCATAAACAGTTTGGGTGTCTTTGTGTTTCAGAGTGCTCTTCAGAGTTCTCCGTGGGGCTTGATGCAGGCGTTGGAGCAGCAGGTGGAGGAGCTGAAGATCGACCCCAGCGATGGCTGCTGTGATGGAGCTCAAGGAGACACCAGCGACAGTCGACCCAGCTCTGGTACTCCCACTGTTTAAAAGCTCCTCTGTCATCGCAGCTCTGTCAGGCGTGTAATTAAGAACTTTCTAAATGCAAATGCACGCTGTAATTTAGCTTTATCCAATAATTCAACTGAGTATGTGTTTGCATAAAATTGTTGCTTTATCTTGCTTTCCTGATGCTTTTCAAAATACACTGAAATGTCTTTTTTTTTATTTACCTCTACCTATCGTGTTTATTCACGCTCCAGTAAGCTTGTAATTTAGTCTGTTGGCTTATTTGTTAAGTGTGCAGAGAGACTGCCTGCAGCTAGCTGGATTTTTTTTTTTGTTTTTGTTTTTTGTTTTAGAAACAAAATGGAGCGATAATAAATGTGACAGATGTGTTTTCGGAGTCTCTAATTTGGCCTCATTTTAGGATTCTATGAATCGAGTGAGGGTCAGTCGCCCAGAGGAAAATCTTCATCTGCTGAGCCCACAAAAACCGTCGTTTCATGCACTTACACCGAAAGGGCTAAGTCTTTAGGTAAGAATAGGCAGAGAAGGCCTGCAGAAATATGGTTTTGCACAGATGCATATTTAAAAAAAACACTCACATTTTAAAAAAATATTTGTAGTCTTTGATTTTTTCCTTTCACAAACAAAACATGATTTAATCTTTAGTATCAATATATTTATTTCTGACCATGGCTATTTTTGCTTGTTCACATCTCAAAACTTCAGTGAAATATCATTTAGAAAATTTAGTAAAGTATCTTTAGTGGTGAATAATAATAATCTGAGTTAATTGGAACGTGATTGAAAATTACTCATTCAAATTTAAATGGGATGACAGGGTAAGATTGCATACATTTACATTTATTTCTATTCCTATTGCAAAACAGGATTACCATTATTGAAMTATTGTTCATGTGTGTTGTTGATTGAATTGTAAAACACACACACACATATATCCTTGTACTTCCATCAAACTGAGGACATTGTACTGACTTCCATTCATTTTTGTAACTGTATTTATGCCTAACCCAGACATTTTCTCTAACCCTGATCATTTCTAGTCTATTTATACTCTAACCTTCATCAAAACTTAATTCCCGTCATGCCACTAAACCTAACTAGTAGAGCGCAATAGAAATGAAAAAAAGTGAGGTTTGGGAAAACATCCTCACTTCCTAAAAATGACATCAGTATGTTAGTTAAAAACATATGAAGTTTCCTCACTCTGTAGCAGAAACAACTAGACACACACACACACACACACACACACACACAGGGAGTCGAATGATACAGGACACCCTTTATGTAAAAAGGAAAAGGAAAAGGAAATATCTGAATCCTCCAAGAAATAATGGGTGAGGGGGTCCTGTCTTTTAGGYTATGTCCAGAAAGCTGCCAYATTGGATCAAAATAAAAGAGTGTTCTGTAACGTTTGACTCACTCCAGTGTTAATGTTGTAAGTTGTTTAGTCACCGATTTATCTTTTAAGGTCACAATAATTTGACAGTTTTTGGCTTAAGATTTTAATATTTTGCTCAGTTGTTTGTCTTTTTCAAACAATTATTAAGATCTCCAGTCCTGTTTTCTCACACTTTAAACAATTTGTAAAATGCTATTCAAAGATGAATTATTTTTATTTTTAAATCAATGCTGTCTCACGTCGTCAAGCTTGGCTGTAACCTTTACTGTTAGTTTCCTTAGTCTTGTCTCCACGTTTTTGGTTTGATATGTTACCACTTTCTGTTTTTAGGAGATGCCCTCGTGCTGAATGGAGAATTCGAAGTGCCGGCTCTACGACCCTGTCTGCCCCGCTCTTTCTCGGCACCTCACCCGCCTCTAGAGGGGATCATTGAGGAGGGACCAGCAGTGGACTCCTGGCAATGGGACCCCGCCTGGTATCGACAGCCTGCAGCGGATCAAGTCACCAAGGAGGACTTCCAGCAGGCTTTGAGGGTCGAGGGTTTCATTCTGAGCCTCATCCAGCGCCATACCCAATCACCCCGGCCATGTCAGCCTCGCACCACCCTGACCCCTGACCCCCCATACTGCGGTGCCTCTGGACACAGCTCCCAACACAGGCGAAGTCCTTCTATGACCACAGAGCAACGCCTTCCCGACCCCCATCAGGATCATGGTGACCTGTCAGCAAACCCCAAGAGCCAGGAATGGGGTTGTGACCTGCCACAGGGGGACACTGAACAAGGAGAGGCCCCATCTTTTGAAGAGGGCTGTTATTTGGCCCTGCCCTACCCCCAGTCTGGGCCACACTGCCTGACTGGGAGACTGCCGTCACCTCTGCCCTCTTTGGAGCCAAACTGTGGCGTTRGGACTCTTGACCTTTGCTGTGAATCATCGTCTCCTCAACATTATCTACATCCACAAAACCCCACTTATATGCACAATTTAGTAAGTGCCCAGTATATCCCTGGACAAGGTTGTCATGCTCCTGTGCGCTCCCCCAGACATTACAAACCAGAGCAGCCAAAGCTGAACCGGGCCGCCGCCTCTCCTGATCAAACCAACTCCAAGTCSAAAGCACCTAAAAAAAGTCACAATGACCGACAGAAATCCAAGAAAGCCAGCAGTAAAACCAGTCGGTGCCAGTCTGAGAACAGCATTCCGGGCCAGCGGGTGCTTCCTGAGAGGAGGTACAGCACAACAGAACGCCGCCCGAGCCGAACCAATCCTGCTCCTAACCAAGGGCAGGCAGCTGGATCCCACGCCGGCAACAAGGGTCACAACGGGAGCCGACGTTGGTGCTCTAACCTGGAGCTCAGCCAGGATGAAGGCGAGATGCCCCCAGCCGTGCAGGCGCACAGACGACCACCCAAAAAGGCTCGCCACGGTCCCACCTGCTCCCAGTCCCATCCCCAGCCTCAGCACTCGCAGCGCTGGCACCAGGACTCGCCGGGGAGAGCGCCTCTCTGCCAGGTGGAGCAGGGCTACGCCGGCGCCGCCCCCGCCGAGTCCGAGTCCAGCATGAGCGAGGTGTACTCACCGCCCTCCAGCTCCCTGTCCAGTGACTCCGACGAGAGCGGGGGGCTGGTGTGGCCCCAGCAGCTGCCGCCTCGCCTCGCCTCGACCTCGTCTTCGTCGTCTCCCTCGCCGCAGGCCTCTACGAACACCTCGGCTCAGCCCAAAGCCTTCGTCAAGATCAAAGCCTCCCACGCTCTCAAAAAGAAAATTCTCCGATTCCGCTCGGGGTCTCTTAAAGTCATGACTACAGTATGAGAAACTGCCCTAACCTGTTTCAAAACCCACTGCTTTCCACTTTTTAATAAGACGTGTCTAAACGCAGCATAAAAGTTATTTCAGTTAGCCACTAATCAAATGCTTTCTTCACAGTGCACCTACCTCTACCTACAATATGTATTTTATTGAGATCTGCTTCCAGCATATTTAAAAATGTAGCTGGAGTTTGTACGTTTTTTGAGTACGTTTCCTTTACTCCTACCACTTTTACACTTTAGACAAATGGACGTCATCCTGATCTGATGAATGATGATCCTCGCAAAGCTACACGGTGCTCACATGGTACGCAAAGCAGACGAGACTGAATTTAATTACAGTTTATGTTTATTGCTTTTTAAGGTATGAAAATATAGTTTTGGGAGTTGATTGATCACAAAGACGGTAATTTAAAACATTATGCCACTGTTACTATTTTAACTAAATGTTTTAGGTTCTGAAAGTAAGGTACAAATGCCCTTTTTTTTACAAAATGACAGGTTATATTGATGTGATGAGTGTTTTACCTGGAGACACTGCTAAGATTAATTCCTTAAAGGGGACATATCCTTTTAAAGTCTTCTTTTTCACATTTTAATCATTCAATTGGGATTTACAGTATATAAAGTGGAACTTTGGACTAAATTTCTCATTATTGTAGCTCTGCAAGCTCCTGTTTCACCAGTAAAAACTGGTTTAAGCTCGGTTTGTATGTGAGTCATGGGATCGGTGATTGCCTMATTTTGGACGTCTTTTAAACAGGCTGAAGACGTGTGGGGGATCAATCATCTTTATCTTCCTCTGATTYCCCAATACTTGTTTTATTCTTGTTAACATCAGCTGCATGTTCATTACGGTCAATAGAGYGCACAAGACCTGCGACTTGAAGTATAAACCAGCGTTTAACAAGAAAAGAAAAAGGTTTTCCTCCTCCGACTTTTCGCCCAGCACAACACTGATTCATTGTTGAGTGAGAAAAACTCTATCCTGCTGTCTGTTATGCTTGGCTCTGCTCTGTGCTACATTCAGAGTCCTGTCGGAGGGCCGAGGGAGAAAATATGAAAATTGATCCCTTGCTGCATCTTATGCCCGTTAATACTCAGAAATCAGGAAAAGATGTATTGCATTGGTGCAGTTTACACCCTGCCCCCCTCAACCCCATTCGGTCCACTTTGTAGTTCGATAGCAAAGGTACAATTATCTAGAGCAGGGGCGCCCAAACATTTTTGCTGAGAGGGCCAAAGTTAAAAAACATTTTTTCCTGAGAGGGCCAAAATTAAAATCAATCTGAGGGACACGGGCCAAATGCAATGATATAAGAAATGCTTAATACTTAAGTAAAGTTGTTTAATTTTTTATGATTAAGCTAGCAGTCAGTGTGGTTGCCCACATTCTTTAGTTTTGTTTTTTTTGTTTTTGTTTTTTTCAGCCCATGGACACGGAGAAAATTCAACGTATGCTCAGGCAGCAAAGGCTCGTGGGACATTTTCTAATTTAAAATTTGAGTATATGTGGTCTTATAAAGTGTGCAAATCTATATATGGGCTTAAATCCAATCTAAATGTCTCTTGTACATGTAGTTACTTGTATTTTATATTTAATCTTAACATAATTACAATCTAATAACCAGGACAACTGCTGGTGGGCCAAATCAAATGGCTCGGTGGGCCAATTTTGGCCCGCGGGCCCCACATTGGGCACATCTGATCTAGAGGCACAAAAACATTTATTTACAAACTAATTAAAAATGCCAACAACAAAAGACCTGTCCATCCAGCCTTATATGTTGGAGCCAGAGGAGAATGGAGACGATAAACCTACACAACTGCAGATTCGTGGAATTGKTTAGCTRGAAGTCCATGACCTTGTTCAACTGTTTGGCAGCAAATAATATGACGGTATTATTCAAAGTATGCAATAGGGAATACAGAAACCAAGCAGATTGAAAAGTACAGTATGTCCCAAACAGAATATAAAGATATATTCGTAGCACCGGGAGAAACTAAATTCAACTTTTCTGCTCTCCTAGAGACTCCAAGTCCACAACAAAATGTATTTAAGGGCTAAAAAAGTGGATTTTGCAAGATATGTCCCCGTTAAATGCCACATACATGCCAGACACCTTTTTTTTTTATGGTCAGCTCTGTTCAGCTAACTGAAATAATTTGCCTGAAAGAATTTATTTTTCCATAAATAAGTAAACCATTAAATTACATTTCTCTTTTGGGGAGTATATTTGAAATTTATTATAATTGTTGTTTGTGGTTTTTTATTTTATTTTTTACTTGCATTAGGACGCTATTTAAAATTAAAAACCCAAAATAAAAAAAGAATACTTACAAAGAAGATCTGTGTTTGTTTTTAAAGTTCACCGGCTAACAATGAATCTTTGAACGGGGATCACATGCAKGTGACATCAACGCTTTCCCAGCTCCAACTGTTGAACAAACCACACCGACATCTAGTGTTCCTGACTTGTGGCACCAGTGGGCTTCAGCATACCAGCATCATAGGTTTAATAGAAGCTGTTTACACAGTACATTTATGCATGTGTCTGACGTCATACTAGGAGCACAGTTTTAATTAAACACCTGAACACACACTTTGTAAATATGCCTGTTTACTGTAAATACCTTCACGTGGCCTTTTTTGGAATGAATGTAGCATGTAAAGTGTCAATTTCTATCCATTTTGGTACGTTTTTGTACACCTTTTGTTTATGCTTTAAGAACAAAATAAATGAGTAAAATTAAACTTCACATACTTGTTACGTGGTTAGACATTTATTTGACAACTTTATTTACTTTTTAATTTCTTTAAACATAAAAGTGCTGGGGTGTGTTAATTGTTTTTAATCTTGGTTGCGCACACACACACACACACACACACACACAGAAACTACAACTAAAATCAAACWCTGAACATTTAATCATGATTTTCACCAAGTTTATTGAATTCAAATGAATATTGATGAAAGACAATTGGTTCAAATACTGTGCAAATTTATGAGATTTTTTTAAACTGCTAAACTATATGTTGCCTATCATATCAGAATGAGGATTAAGTACAATTTGGTCAAAATGACCTAATTACATTTTCAGATTCCTGGCTTTAAAAGCTACATTTTGATACCTGCTGATATTATAAGTGGATCTAGAAATATGACTTTATTTGTCTTGTTGGTTACAATGATGCATTACTCTTTGGTCTGAATCCTAATTTTATGTAAATTTATTGAGTAATTTTTGATGTTAATATAAAGAAGAAACCTCAAATAGTATTGTATGTTAAGGTTTCCCAGTTGGAAAGAAACAAAAACATTTCTATCTCATGGAATAATTCAAAATTTTAAGGCGTTTTTCCTCAAAATCAGTTTTGTGTTTGTTTGTTTTTATGCTACTGCTCAAAATAATGCTTCAAAAATTTCATTTAGGATTATATTTCAGACAGTTCRTTTGAATGATACATTGATAAGGCATTAATTCATCATATTTTGACAAAATGCAATTTTTGCACACGTTTAAATCAAAACCCTATATCTGCCTGTTTCTCCACATCCCACTTTTGGACTTAATCCTCGTTTTGATGTAATGGGTCACATCTTACTAGTGTCATGATTGGGAAAAAAGCATTTTCTGTTGTTGAGAATCTTTAAAAAATGAGAAATCGGCCTTTAGAATTTGTAAAATATATATCAACAAACAACTATTTAACTTTAATCAGTTGCTGTGACCATGAAGCTTTTTAAGCTAAATACTTGATTTTTTTAAACCATCATTTTAGTTTATATGAAATTTAACAATGAAAAAATAAAGATGAGTTATTTATGCCTTAATGTGAGTAAATAAACAAAATATATATATTTATACCACCGCCACCTCATCTCGATCTGGATTTTGTTTTTATTTTATTGTATTTATTTTCTCTTATTTTATTTGAACTGAACAAAAATATATTTGAATCAAGACTCAGTTAAAAGATTTATGTTGTGTCTCCATCTTGTGGTGTGTAAAATGAACTGAATGACTGATGAACATTAAAAATGTGCATCTTAAGATAAATTAATCCTTCAAAAAACTTACAGAAACTAACTGTGAAAATTGTCCAAATAATCTGATCTTGAAAATTTCAGTTTAGGCCCTCCTCATGTCTTTGGGTCAAGATGTTAACTGAGGCCTTCACCTTTACAAAGCTGCAAATGATAATAATCTTGAGATAAAAAAGAAGAAGTTTTCATATCTGGTGGCAGGCAACAAGGCTGCTGAAACATACAAAATTGAGCAACAGTTCCTGATTTGCGACACCGGGGCGGTGCTGARAATATTTTACACAACGACACAAGAACCACCGAAGAAGTCCTCCTGTCCAGACTTTCAGAGTCAGGTTTCACAGCATCCCTTTTTATTGGTCAAGTTCAGAAAAAAAAACTTATCCTATAAACCTCAGACGCACGAGGGAGAATTAGACCCCTCCGCATCAGATTTTGGTGGTCTCCTTTCCGCTGCTGGTGCTCTTGGTGTCACTGTTGGCGACGCTGGCCCTGGAGTACGGCTCCTCGGTGATGAAGTGGAGGATGTTGCGCACGGAGCGGCTGAAGCTGTCTTTGAAGTTCCTGCCCATGCACACATAGATCAGAGGGTTGAGGCAGCTGTTGAAATATGCCAAGCAAAGTGCCAAGGTTTGCGCTGTGTAGACTTTTGGGCTGTGAATGGAGGAGAGGGGCGTGATCAGTCGGATGAAGTCCATTAAGTGCAGGGGGAGCCAGCAGAGGAAGAAGCTCAGCACCACAGCCATGATGACCTTCATTGTTCGCTTGGAGCGAGGCCGGCCCCGTGATATTCCTCTCTGGGTGCTGTTGTAAACCATAAGGTGGCAGACGACAATAACCAGGAAGGGGATGATGAATCCCATTATGAAGTGAAAAGAAGCGATGAACCAGACTAGGCCTTTAGGGTACCCAGTCACACACTCTCTCTTAACATCACCTGCCTCGCGGTGCCGGGCGTAGATAAACTGAGGGATGCTTCCTAACAGGGCCAGGCACCAGACCGCCACGCACCCGAACACAGCTTCCCTGGGCCGCCTTTTGTTCTGACACCAGATGGGTTTTTTAACCAGCATCAGGCGATCCAGGCTGATCAGAACAAGCTGCAGGACGCTGCAGTACATCACCAGGTAGAACAGGCCTTTGACCAGCGTGCAGGCCAGCGCACCAAAGTGCCAGTGATCGTCGTGGGCGAGAGGGAACATGAGCAGAGGGAGAGAGAGGCAGCACAGCAAGTCAGCCAAAGCCAGGTTGAGGAACCAGATGGAGGTGACAGAGGGGGTCATGCAGAACCCCGTCACCCACAACACCACCGCATTACCTGGGACTCCCAGGAGGACCACGAGGCCGTAGAGGACCAGAGTCACTATCTGGATGGGTTGAATCTCAGGGATCAAGGTTTTGGAAAATATGTCAGGAGGCAGAGAATAATTGTCTGGGTCTTCTATCCAGCCAGGCAAGGCGTAATCTGTAAAATTCATGGCTCATTAAAGCTGTAGGTGGGAAAAAAAACATTGTGAGCAATAATGCTAAATTCATTGTTACAAACAACAGAACAATGCCTAGAAATTCAATCTACATTTCCACATTGAACTTCCCTAAATCAGCAAAATACATAAAGGCAACAAAAACAAATTCTCTTTATTTAAATTTAATAAATTTAAAATTAGATGTAAGCAATATTTCAACTTACGGTTGACTGAGTTGAAGTCACTGGTAACAGGAAGCTTTGGAAACGCTTCTCTGCTTTTTATAATGTTGTAACTCCAGCCCCTAAGCTTTTACACACACACACACCCACGCGCACAAACATACACAGCTGAGTTGCACAAGTTTTTTTTTTACAAAGCCTCTATTAATCATTAAGATTAGGTCAGATTGARGAACTATACAGAGGCAAATCTGAACATGTAGAAATTTCAGTAAAATTTTAGGAATCATTTCCTAATAAAGTATTTTCATTAATTTGTTTCAGCCATAAATGTGACAAAGATGTTAAACAAAATACAAATAGCTTTATTTAAAGGTATTTTATTGATTTATATGACATTAATCATATTTTGTACTTAGTATTCACCCACATGCTTTATTATTAGGATATTTTCATGATTTCCTTTTTGGACTGTCATCTTTTCCCTGATTCTGCTCATTTTACTTCTGCTTTCTTGGTTTCATCCAGCTGACTGATATCATTCAGAGTATTTCCAGAAAAATAGTTTTTAAAAACACTTGCATCAAAATTATCTGTGCAAAAGGTGTTTTTTGATGGCTTTATTTGTTTATTTAATGTTAATGACATTCTGTAGACAGCCAAAGGTTTATGAAAACAAGAAAAATTTGTTTTCTGTAGTTTTTTTTAAACGGACAAAGCTTTTTTTATAATGTTACAAATGACTTAATAGTAAAAATAAAACAACACTGAAACA